GGCCCCTGCTTCGTGATCGGGTGGGCACACTTGGAACGCGCGCAGCAACCAAGCGATACTCCAGGAATGTCGCCGGCAAGCGGCTCAATCAAATTCGAAAAATATGTCGTGCACAAACAGGTGCAAATTCAGTGGCTGCGCCAGTTGCACACGACTGCAATACAGCACTGCCGTGAAAGTCGCCTGGGGAAACCATATCGCCCAGAATCATGAAGGGCAGCTCCAGAAGCGGCATTCAAGCAATCAGTGTTTGAATCACGACCGACCCCAAGGTTTTCATGGACGAAATACCCGAATCAACCAACCCTGATGAAAAGGCCAGGCTCGTGGCGGAGACTGAGCGCAGGCGGAAGGAGAAGGAAGTAATCAAGGCACGACAGGCTCAGCAGGGGCCGGCTTCGCAGCACGCGCCGATCTACCACTCCCTGCCGACCACAGGTGGAAGGACCTGGAGGACGACGTCAACGTGGCAACGACCAGGCTACTGGTCTGCGCGGCACTTGGCCCGTTCCTGCTATGGCGCCTCGGGCTACACCCGCACCAGCACGGCGTCGCCGACCAGCCTACTGATCCCAGCCTTCAGGACAGAAAGGGGTGGAGCATGAACGGGCTGCTGAGCGCTGGTCGGACTGGACGCCAGCAACCTGGTCTACACCGCGGTCTTCGCGACCATCACGCGGGCGTTAGGACTCGGAGTCACCGACAAAGACAGCGCGCACGCACTCGACCCCAACCTGATCCCACCCCGAAGGAACCGACCGAACACGCCAGCAGCGCGGCGCATCAAGGAGACCTGCATCCCCACCGACGTCCCCAGGCGCAGACCCAAATGCTGGCACCCATCTACCTGTAAGTGCCAGAAGCACAAGGAGCCACCCACAACGGCCGTGTTCCACGCCTTCTGCGACATGAGTCCAACAGAAAGCCCAGCTGCTGTTGTCAACAGCCTCCGGGACAGCACTCCGCGACCCTGGATGGCATCCAGGCCAGGATCCTCCTCGCCCTGTCCCTGCTTATACAACGCGAACCACGTACCTGTCTGTGCCCGTACGGGGGCGCCGAGGGCATCGGGGACGTGCTCGAGGCCATCCTCGGCCTGTGCGAGCCGCACCGCCCACGCGACAAGACTGCTCGTGACAAGCTGGGCGCGTTGTTCGGGCTCCAGGGGAAGCACTTCAAGCAGCTGCACTCTGCACTGGAGCTCCTGATCACAGCGGCGCCCCGCTTAGTCACGGTCGCCCACCACCACCCTCTGGCCAGGAGGGCGAACTGCCCCGCGATCTGGGAGGGCCTAGTGGCCGAGAAATTCCCGCCCCAGGCCACCCTCGCAGTCATCGAGGGCATCGTGTCCACAGCCAGCCTGTCAGCCTTGGAAATCCACGAGTGCGCCGTGTGCGCGCTCAACGTCGACGTGATCGGATCCGACATCGGCCTCGCCCACGACCCGGCCAAGCAGGCAAGCAAGCAGCGTCACCTGGATAGGTGGAAGATACCCCTACACGCGCCTGCACCTGGACGCACCGGCCCCTCTTGGGCCACGCCCTGGAGTGACACTAAGGCCCCCATGGTTAGACAGCCGAGACACCAGGTGGAGGAAGGACCAGCATAAGGCCGACTTCTACTGTCAAGGATGCCTGCGCGGCCCCTTCAAGCACGATAACGGCGCATACGCCAGCAAACGAATCCGCCAAACCATCAGCAGCAACAGGCTGACGGAATACTACCATGGGAAGGACTTGACCTGGCTTTGCATATGCTGCTGGACTACGAAGGCAATGGCCGAGGGGCAGCCCATTCCAGACGTCGTGGATTTCAAAAGCTGGATCAACGACCGCCCCGACGACATGCCTGCCCGCGCAATGCGCGCCCTTCCTGGGATGCGTCCGACGCCCTTACCCACGGCCCTGACGCCCCTCGACCAGCTACTGGCCCCACTGGAAGGCGACCTGAACCCCCTCAATGTGGGAACTACCCCCCCAGCCAGCATCACGAACGACGACCGCCTGATCAGCCAATTCTACAAAAGACATGTCGGCACCTGGAGATGTGACGGATGCCCCTCGGGCACGGAGGGACACAGGTGGGGGCCGGGACAGGCCTACCCAAGCATGCACGGGCACGCCGCGGATCCAGAAGGACTCCGCGACGGCTTCAGCCTGGTCCACGGGCTCCCCCCCCCGCACAGCTGATGAGGGAGGTGTTCCTGGCCAAACGCTGGCACGCGGGCTGGTACTGCAAGGAATGCCGCATCCACCAATGGGACATGCGCCCATCAGCCGTGAGCGAGGTACTCAGCAAATACGGCCCTGACGTACACCCAAGAGCAGGGGACGAACCTCTCCCCGCGCTACCGGGCACCCCTGTTTCAACGGCAGAGGGCGCAGCACGCCCCAGCCCAGAGGAGACGCGGCGACGCGCAGCCGCCTGGGACGAGGCGGAGCGCAGCTACTACGACCGCCACGCCTCTGCACTGCCACCCCCCTCGCGGGATCCCGACGCCGCTGCCTCCGCCCAGCCACCCACTGGAAGCGCAACAGCCAGCGGGGCTCAACAGCGCGCCAACCCACGGGCGGGCGCGCGCCCCGAGCAGACACCCAGCCCAGTCCAGCCACCAAGGCCCACCAAGGAAAGGCGCGCGACACCAGTCCAGTCAACCAGCCCCCGCCCAACACCCACCAAACCGCCCACTAACGGAGGCGATTCACCCATTACCCCTGTGATCCAGGGTGAGGATGCCTTGTGTCCGCCAATCCGTTGGCCACGCGGTCGTCCACTGGCGTCACGGTCGTCGTCGCCCCAGGGAAGTCAGGACCGTCGTCGATCGGTCTCCCATCCATGCTAAGCCCGACCTGGGCCGAGCTGCTGCGTGAAGCCGAAGAAGAGGAATCCAGGCAGTCTGCTATGGCCGCCCGGGGGGGGGGAGCGCGCGGCCCGAAAACTCCTAGGGGAAGTCCCCTTGAGCTGGGAGACCCGGCCGAGGGGCCAGGGCCCAGAGACGGCTTGAGCCAGAGGGCTACGGACTGGTGGGGATACGCGAAGCGTCTAGAATTCGTCATCTTGGCTCGGCGTTTGGTCGTGGCCTCTCGCCTTCGGCGTTTGGCCGAGCCTTCTCGCCCTCGGCGTTTGGTCGAGCCTTCTCGCCTTCGGCGTTTGGCCTAACCCTTTCGCACTCGGCGTTTGGTCGAGCATTCTCGCCCTGCTGATGCGCCGTGCAGGCGCCTGGCACACCTGACCTGACCTGACCTGACCTTGGCTCTTTGTCAAAGAGTTCCCGGTGGGCTTCGGCCCAACCAGCCGACCACCTGGAAGACAGGGTCTTCGTTGGTTTTTCCCCTGAAGATGGCCCGAAGACGGCCTCCAAGGTCACTAAGGTGGCCTCCAGGACTGCCAAGATGACCCCAAGAGAGCTCAAGATCGTCGCAAAATGTCTCCAAGAAGGCCCAGGATGCACCCAAGACGGCCCAAGATGGCCTCAAGATGGCCTCAAGATGGCCCAAGACGGCCTAAGATGGTCTCAAAACGGCTCTGGACGGCCCAAAGGCCTCCAAGATCGCCCAAAGAGCACCCAAGAGGCCTCCAAGATGGCCCCCAAGACGGCCCGAGAGGCCCCAAGACGGCCCCAAGAGGGCCCCAAGACGGTCACAGATGGCTCCCAAGACGCCCAAGATGGCCTCCAAGACGGCCAAGATGGCCCCAAAAAAGCCCACGGTAGCCGAAAGAGACAAAACGCCCACGATAGCCGAAAGATGCCTCCAAGACGGCCCAAGATGCAGCCAAGACGGCCTAAGTTGACCTCCACATGACCCAAGACGGCTCAAGTGGTCCCCAAGAGGCCGCCAAGACGGCCCAAGAGGCCTCCAAGAGGTCCTCCAGGAAGGCCCAAAGGAGCTAAAGCCGTTCTCCAAGATCGCCCGCAGATCGCCAAAGAGGCCTCCAAGATGGCCCCATGACGGCCCAAGGGTCCCCAAGACGTCCCCAGGAGTGCGCACAGACGGCCCAAGAAGCCCAGAAGACGCTCAAAATGGCCTCCAAGACGGCCAAGATGGCCCCGAGAGAGCCCGAGATATCCGCAAAATGCACCCAAGACGACCCAATATGCAGCCAAGACGGCCTAGGATAGCCTCAAGATGGCTCAAGACGACCCAAGAGCCCCCCAAGAGGCCTCCAAGAGGTCCTCCAAGAAGGCCCGAAAGGGCCAAACTCAATATGTTCCATCATACGTGGTTCACAGATTGTGGCGTTTGCCCGGTGTCGACTCTCAGATAGTCCAAGACGGCCCGAAGGGCCACCAAGATGGCCCCAAGAGCGCCCAAGAGGCCTCCGAGATGCCCCCCTGACGGACCAAGTGGCCCCCAAGATGACCCCGAGAGGGCCCGTAGACAGGCCAGGATACTTCTAAGACGCCCAAGATGGTCTCCAAGACGGCCCTGAAGCGCCCCAAGAAGGCCCCAAGTCGGCCAAGAAGGCCTGCCTGCCAACGTGCCCACCCTGCCTCTTGGGGCGCCTGGCCCCCAAGAGGTCCAAGGAAGCCCCCAAGAGGCCTTCAAGAGGCCTCCAGGAGGCCACACGAGTGCCCCAAGGGGCTCCCAAGAGGCCTCCTCCTCCTCCTCCTCCTCCTCCTCCTCCTCCTCCTCCTCCTCCCTCCTCCTCCTCCTCCCCCTCCTCCTCCCTCCTTCCTCTTCTTCTATTTCCCCCACGTGTTCCCCGAAGTGTCTCCACAACAGCTGGGGGGGGGAATAACATGTAGTCTGATAGCCTGGTCGAGCTCTGGCCGCAACGTTCTTCCGCCTAGGCTCTTGCTAAAGACAGGGGGGCGGCGGTGACTCGCTGCAGGCGTCTTCCATACAAGCGTCCGCCATCGATGTTGAGTCTGGGAAGGCCTGGCCAGGATCAGCGTATGCGCCGATCTTGGGTCCAGGGAGGGCCTGGCAATGTTAGGTCTTCGGCGTGCAGCCTTCGCCCACGACGTTTCACGGAACCCCATGGCGGAGCTCCGACACAGGGGATCCAGAAGGGCTCGCCGTGCCTGCTCGGTTCACGCATTCGATGCCCCGCACTTCCTCTTCTTCGGAGCGCCGCATTTTCTTGCGCTCCACTGTCGCCCGATCGCACAAGGAAGCCGCACCATCGTCTCGCGGTGGCACCACCGAGTCGTGCGCGACACTTCGCCCCTCCCGGGCCCACAGAGAGAGAGCGGATGGCGGCAGAGTGGGGACCCAGGCCGGAGCTGCAAGGCACACGAATCGCGGCACTGCATTTCAGCGACCGTGGCGCAGGACACGGAGAGGCAACGATAGGGGGGGGGAGCTGGCGCTCAGGGCGGGGGGGCAGCGTCGACCCGGAGAATCGGCCATACGTCGCCGACGGATCGGCGGTAGGCCCCCGATAGCAGACCCGCACGGCCCTGGGCGGGATGGGCCATCGGCCCCCTGTCGGCGATCCAGGGGCGAGTGGGGGTCGATGCATCCCCCCCGTGCCTATCCCCAGGCGCTTTCGGGCCATGACGCGAATCTCTGGGCACCGTGACCCAGGCTGAGGAAGCACGCTCCGAGGCTACACAGGCTGCATGAGGGCCTTCGCCATCCACGCGAGTCGCACGAAAGATATGCCTCGCTTCGACTTTGCGCGTTGGAACGTTGTGCACAAAAACATGCTGGTGGGGTTCGTGGGTCTGCGCTCCACGCTTAAGATTGGAATAACCATTACATGGAACGCTCGAAATACTACAGCATGAAATGCTCGAAACACTACAGCACACTAGGAAGCATATCACTACAGCACGCATGAAGGGCTCGAAATACTACGAAATGGAATTGTCAAATCGCTCGCAAGAGCAGGGGGCGAGGAAGAGGATGAGGAGGCAAAACAAAATGTTGTGGAGGAGGGAGGAGAATGGAGAACAACCGCGAGGCTCCACTGATGGTGCCACGAATGCTGCTGCTCGCTGTAAGCGCCGGCCTGGGCGGACAAATCCTGCCCCCCATGGGTATCTACGAGGGGAGGCAAAACATACGCGACGCGAACGCGGGTAAGGAGAGAGCCATCACTTCAATCGGCGGATTGATCCAGAGCAAGCTGGACATCAACCGAAGGTCTAAGCAAATACTGTACGCACCTAGCGCCTCGACACGCGTGCAGAGGTGCTACCCCTCTCTCAAATTACTGAGGCGCTGCTGGGTGAAACTGGCAGTCCATGGGCACACGCTGTGCGCGGCCACTGGGTGACGACTGAAGGTCCGATAAACGTGCCCCGTGGGCAAAGTGCTCCAGTGGGTCGACCCATGGGTGAAACTATCGGGTGGAGCGTTAGGTCGGGCATGTCCCCCTACAGGCGATGCTTGGGCGAAAAATTACAAATTGGCCCCCAAAAAATGTTTCAAAATGCTCAAAAATAGTCAAACATCGTCCCCATATTCTTTCTTTATTTTTTTGGAAACTTCCTCCGGTAGAGGGACACGCCCGACTTAAGTGGAGCAGGGCGGAGCCAGGGCTCGGCACGTGAGGCGGGATCAGCGAACGAGGAACTGTTTAGAGAGGAGTGCTCCACCGTGGGGGGGGAGGAGAAGGAAAAGGAGGAGGAGGAGGAGGAGCGGGAGGAGGACGAGGAGGAGGAGGAGGAGGAGGAGGAGGAGGAGGCGAGGGGGGGCCAGGGGGGGCGCTGGTCCCCGAGCGTCCGAAGCCTCTCTCGGCTCCTGCACGAGGGTGCTCTGAACAGGTGCTACAGCAGGGCCCGACCACAAGAAACCTCCCACCAGATACCCAGCCCCGAGACCCTGGAGGTCCATCGGTTTTCGGTGAGGGAACGTCACGCCTTCCACAGCATAACCATCGAAGCCCAAGAAACCCAGGGCACCCTGGAGGTGAGCAGGGCGGTTCTTGGCATGGGCTTCCACGGTGAGGATGCCTTCGGCTGCGCTTCCCTTTCTTAGAGGGGGGCCCGACCCCCCAGGAGCAACCACTGCAAAAACCCCCGCGGGTGTCCAGAGGCCTCCTCAATGGGGTCGAAGTAAACGGGGTCGCTGGATCGCGCCGCATCGCCAATGCGTCACCGATGCATCGGCGCCTTGGGCGTTGGAGAAATTCGGGACCCCACATAGAGCCGCATCGCCGATGCATCGGCGATGCGACGCGATGCATCGACCCCATCTACAGTCGGGCTGCTGAAATAAGGGACGATTGATGAGGACCGTAGTTCTAGCCCAAAAAGCGCCTGCGTGCACGAGGAGGGCCAGAGGAACAGCCATGCAAGGACCTGAAGAACATCGAGCCCCCTCCGAACCCAAAACTGTTGCTTAGTTCAGCATCCTGGCTCTACGTCGACCCATCTGGGAGGAATGGAGTATCCTATGGGTGCCCAGACGCCGCCCCGGGGCACACCGGCCGAAGGGCGCCCGTGTGTGCCGCCGACCAACATGTTATATCTGCGTGGCGGCACGTCGGGTTGCGTTCACAATGATGTTCTGTTGTTGACAATGCGAATCGGCCCCAACCACAGCCATGACCAGGACCAGTCCTGGTCACAGCTGAGGGTCGGGTTGCACTAATATGCCTTTCACATTGTGAGCGCCGATCAACCCAAATGAAAGCCGTGACCAGTCCTGCGGGGGAGGCTGTGGAATCTTCGATGTTGTGCTGGCGCTGGAAGCTGTCGAATAGTGGGTGTTGTATTGGAGACGGAGGCCGTAGAGGTTTGGGGGCTGCGTTGGAGACGGAGGCACCAAAGGAGGCTGTGCTGTGTTGGAGCCCAAGCCAGGAAAAAGACCAGTTACATATTCCCACGACAGAGCTTGCGCTGAGGAGCTCTTACTTGTCTTCCACGGAAGTGGGCCTGCCCGTCGGTTTGGCGGCTATTCCGAATTTCTTAATAAGCGTCGGGGGGGCCTCACCCCCGCCGACAGCCCCACATCTACCCCCGTCGCGGGCAGCCACCCCGCGCCGAAGGCGCTCCGACCCCCGTCGCGGCGCGACGACGAGGCGAGGTTGACACCCGTCGGGGGGGTCCCCCCACACGCTTATTAAGAAACCCAGGGTATGCGGTCGCCGTCAAGGCCCCGCCGTCTCGGACTGCCCGTCGATCTGGCGACTATGTGGCCGTCGTCGCCGCCCAATCGCTCTGGGCGTGCCTGTCGGTCCGACGGCTGTGTGGTCGCCGTCGCCGCCCCGTCGCCGTCTAGGCCTGCTCTACTTTGCACTGCGCTGCGTTACTTTGCATTGCGTTCCATTGGTTTGCATTGATTTCTATGTTGCGTTGCTGTGTTGTGCGCTGGACTACATTTGTTTGCATTGCATTGCGTTGCCTTGTGTTGCATTGTGATGCGTTGCACTGCTGGGCATTGTCTGGCATTGTTTTGCACGCTGCATTGATTGACATTGTCTTGCACCGCTTCTCATGGTTTCGAATTACTGTGCACATCGTTGCGTTGATATACATTGCTTGGCATTGCTGGGCATTCTGCCGTAGCGTGTTATTTGCATTGCTGCATACTACTTTACATTGAAGCGCATTGCGGTGCAGTGCGTTGCCTGGATTTGCCTTGCTGTGTGACACATTGGTTCGCATTGCTTCGCACTGCGTTCCATTGTTTTGAATTGGTGCGCATTGCGTTGCATTCTTTTTACGTTGCTTGACATCGTTCGACCTTGCCACATAAATTGCAACACCGAAATGCACCACGAATGCTGCACCACCCATACTGCAGCACAGAATTTGCACCAACTAGATTCTCCTGTCAGAGAATAAAAAGACTCTACCCCCCCCCGGCGTTATCGCCCCCCCTTTCGGGTATGTAGATAAGACATGATTCTGACCACATGTCCACCCGATATATATATATATATACACACACACATATATGAATTTACCCTATCCCAGGGGGCCGGTCTCGACCCCCTCTGCGGTTCCCTTTGTTTTTTGTACACAAAACAAACAACAAAGCAAAATCAATAAAAACATACGCGGGGACATACATTGCTCAAACATAACACTTCTCCACAAATCCCTTGCAAAAAAAAAAAAAAAAAAAAAAAAAAAAAAAAAAACGACGAAGTGCACACGCGCGCCGTCGCGCGCGCATGCCGAAATCCTCCAAAAACCTTCGGTGCCAGAAGGATTTCGCAATCGAGCTTCCAGAAAAAAACATACAAAACCACATGGTTGCGCAACACTGATTTGCTACAAAAACGTACGCGCGAGCTCTTGCGAAATCTCAAGGCAACCATAGGTTTTTCAAGAACGGGCTTCGCGCGCGCGCATGTCGAAATCCGTCGAACGCCCTTGCGCGTGTGCCGTCGCGAGAATCCATTGCCAAAAATGGGACGAAGTGCAGACGCCCGCGTCGTCGCGCGCGTATGCCGAAGTCCAAAAAAAAAAACCATCGGTTTCGGAAGGATTTCAACATCGTGTGTCCAAAAAAACCTACTAAAAACACAAGGTTTCGAAACACGGATTTTCAACAAAAGGGTGCGCGCGCGCGCTCTTGCGTCGTCGTCGTCGTCGTCGCCGACATCCCTCCTCCCGCGTCGCCGTCGTCAGCGTCGCCTACGTCGTCCTCTGTTTTTCTTCGTGTTCGTCGTCGTCGTCCTCTTTGGCGTCGTGGTCGTTTCCGTCGTCGTTGTCGCCGTGGTCGTCCTTCCTCCTCTTCCCTCGTCGTCGTCGTCGTCCGTCGTCGGCGTCTCGTCGTCCCTCCTATTTCGTCGCCGTCGTCGTCGTCGTCGTTTTCCCTCCTCACTCGTCGTTGTCGTCGTCGGCGTCGCCGTCCTTCCTCCTTCTTCGTCGTTCGCGTCGTCGCCGTCCTTCCTCCTCCCTCGTCGTTGTCGTCGTTGTCGTCGTTGTCGCCGTCGTCGCCGTCGTCGCCCCCCTTCCTCCCTCGTCGTCGTCTTCGTTGGCGACGTCGTCGTCGTCGTCTTCGTCGTCGTCATCTTCGTCGTCATCGTCGGCGTCGTCGTCGTCGTCCGCATCGTCGTCGTCGTCGGCGTTGTCATCGTCGTCGTCGTCGTCGGCGGCGTCGTCGTCGTCGTTGTCGTCGTCGTCGAAGTCGTTGGAGATGTCGTCGGTGTCGTCGTAGTCGTTGTCGGCGTCGTCGTCGTCGTTGCCGCTGTCGTCGTCGACGTCGGTGTCGCGGCCAAGTGCCATGTGGTACCTACCGTCACGGTATGGAGAGGTCTTGCGACCAAGTTGCGGGTGGGACGGTGAGACGTTTGCACGAGCAGTGGACAGGACAGCTTCAAGACAGTCAAAGTGAATTCTCTTTTGTCTAAAAAGAGAAAAAACTCTACCCCCCCGGCGTTATCCGTTCCCCTTTCGGGTATGTAAATCATCTACGATTCTGACCACATGTCCATCCTAAACATGAGTTTACACTATCCCAGGGGGCCGGTATCGGCCCCCTTAGGACCCCTTGTAAAAACCGATACGCGGGGACAAGTTTTGTTCTAACATAAGACTTGTTCACTAATCCCTTGCAAGAAACGGGACGAAGTGCACACGCGCGCGTCGTCGCGCGCGCGCATGCAAAAATCCTTCAAAAACCTTCGGTGTCAGAAGGATTTCGCAATCGAGTTTCAAAGAAACATGCAAAGACACAGGGTTTCGCAACACTGATTTGCTAAAAAGGCTTACGCGCGAGCTCTTGCGAAATCTCGAGAAAACCAAGAGGTTTTTTCTCATGATCTTCACAAAATGCTACCAAAAGGGCTTCGCGCGCGAGCATGCGGAAATCTGTCGAACGCCCTTGCGCGTGTGCCGTCGCGGAAGTCATCAGCAAAAATGGGACGAAGTGCAGACGCGCGCGTCGTCGCGCGCGCATGCCGAAACCCTTCAAAACCCATCGGTATCGGAAGGATTTCAACATCGCGTGTCCAATAAAATAAACCTACAAATAACACAAGGTTTCGAAACACGGATTTTCAACAAAAGCGTGCGCGCGCTCTTGCGTCGTCGTCGACGTCGCCGTCCTCCCTCCTCCCGCGTCGTCGTCGTTGGCGTCGTCGTTATCTGTCTTTCCTCGTCGTCGTTGTCGTCGTCTTGGCGTCGTCGTTTCCGTCGTCGTTGTCGCCGTGGTCGTCGTTTCCTCTTCCCTCGTCGTCGTCGTCGTCCGTCGTCGGCGTCTCGTCGTCGATCCTCCTATTTCGTCGCCGTCGTCGTGGTCGTCGTCGTCTTCCCTCCTCCCTCGTCGTTGTCGTCGTCGGCGTAGCCGTCCTCCCTCCTTCTTCGTCGTTCGCGTCGTTGCCGTCCTCCCTCCTCCCTCGTCGTTGTCGTCGTTGTCGCCGTCGTCGTCCTCCCTCTTCCCTCGTCGTCGTCGTCGTCTTCGTTGGCGGCGTCGTTGTCGTCGTCGTCGTTGTCTTCGTCGTCGTTGGCGTCGGGGTCGTCGTCGTCGGCGTCGTCGTCGTCGGCGTCGTCGTCGTCGGCGTTGTCGTCGTCGTCGTCGGCGTCGTCGTCGTCGGTGTCGTCGTTCTCGTCGTCGTCGTCGTTGTCGTCGTCGAGGTCGTTCGAGACGTCGTCGGTGTCGTCGTAGTCGGTTTCGGCGGCGCCGTCGTCGTCGTTGTCGCTGTCGTCGTCGGCGCCGGTGTCGTGGCCAAGTGCCATGTGGC